TGATTTGAACTTTAAGGTGTTATTTTTTATATTAAAACACTTCCTTTTTAAAAAGCAGCAAAATATTGTGACGAATTCAACTCAATCTTTAGTATTCGGAAGTAAGACTATTCTTAATATCTAATTACCAAACACATAATAAAAATGATATTGTATATTTATTTAATTAAACTCAAATATATATTTAAATAAACTTGTATTTTTTTTTAGTTAAAATTAAGTTTGATTGATTGAATACACAATTTTTGTAGATGTCTTCTATCAAACAAACAATGAAAACAACAAACACTTGATAATATAACATATTTTTCTGCTTTTTCTAATGAAAAATGACAACATATAAGACTTTATATATCATATAAATAAAACATTTATTTCATTTGAAATGTCAATTTAGATAGTTATTTCTTCACCTAATTTTGTCATAATCATTTAAGATAAAATAAAATAAAAGATTACTTATAGCAAAAATCAAATGAAATATATTTAATTAAGATAACTATTTTATACCCTTAATCTAATTTGAAAGTGAAAGTGTTATTTTTTATATTAAAACTTTCCTTTTCGAAAAGCACAAAAACATTATGACGAATCCAACTGAATCTTTAGTATGAAAAGAAATTGAAAATGATAATGTATAATTATTTAATTAAATTCAAATATATATTTAAATAAACTTATATTTTTTCAGTTAAAATTCAGTTAGATTGATTGAATACACACATTTATTATAGCATGTTTTCTGTCAAACAATGAAAACAACAATACTTGAGAATATAACACATTTTTTTGCTTTTTCCAGTGAAAAATGACAACATATAAAACTTTATATATCATAGAAATAAAATATTTATTTCATTTGAAATGTCAATTTAAATATTTATTTATTGACCTAATTTTATCATAATTATTTAAAATCAAATGAAATAAAAGATTACTTATAACAAAAATCAAATGTAATAAATTTAATTAAGATAACTATTTTATACCCTTAATTTATCTAAACTTTCATTGATTTGAACATTAAAGTGTTTTTATATATATATATATATATAAAAACACTCCCTTTTTAGTACCAAGAGGTTTAGACTATCCTGGATATCTAGGTACCAAACACATAATAAAAATAATAACAAAAGAAATTTAAAATAATAATGTATAATTATTTAACTAAACTTGAATATATATTTAAATAAATTTTTATTTTTTAAGTTAAAATTAAGTTAGATTGATTAAATACAGTTGTTGTAGCATGTCTTTTATCAAACAATGAAAACAACAAACACTTGAGATTATAACACTTTTCTGTTTTTCTTATAAAAATAAAATCATATAAGACTTTATATATTATATAAATAAAATATTTATTTCATTTGAAATATCAATTTTAAGAATTATTTCTTTACCAATTTTTCATAATCATTTAAGATAAAAAAATATAAAATAAAAACATCAATTATTCATTCAATTATAAAATAATTAGAGTATACTAAAAACATAAAATAATTATTATCAAGTTATGTTCAAAGATAAATAATATTTTTAAATATTTTAATTGATTTAAATATATTACTCTTTTAATATTAATATTTTATCTTAGAAAAAAATATCAAAGTTGGGAGTTTTTTTTAATTTTAATAAAAAAATTAAAAAATTAATTCCCATTCTAGTATAATATTTTAAAGTAATTTGAGAAAAATAATTGTATTTAATTAGTAAAGAATTATTTTAAGAGTATAAATATAATATTAGAGAGATTAGAGAGATTTTGAAATATTTTTGAAGGAATAGAGAAATTGGACATCAGAGTTCTTTCAAAGTCAATATTTTAATTACACGTGACTAAACATACATGGAGTAAAGCAAACTTTTCTCTAAAATTATTTTACCAAAGCAAATTTGATGTTATAAATCTAAAAATAATTTCAAACAAAATTAATTTTGAATTTTTTTTTCTTCAGAACAACTTTCTATACTAATATATATGTAAATACTTAGTAAAATAGTTATTTTATTTTCCTATATATAATTTGTTCACATTTATATAATCATTTACACTCTTCTTCTTTTTTTCTTTTTTCTTTCTTTTTATTAAATAATGTGACATTAAATTTGAATATAAAGAATTAGAGTAAAAAAATAATAATCCGTGTATAAAAATTACAATTCCATTTATACTATCATATCTTTGTTGTTTATAATTTGCCTAAGATTAAGATTAAAAAGAATTTTAGAAAATGAACATGGGATATGTTTCTATATTGGTAGAAAAATATAATTGAAAAAAGTAATATAATATAATAAAAAAATATTTAATAAATATAAAAATAATCCAAATATTTAATAAAAATTATTTAAACTTGACAAAAAAGTATTATAAGGAGCTTTTATCTTAAAATCATTTAAGTTACATTATCCGCATCAATTTTATTTTGGGGTGATGAACAACTTAATAGAAAAATATGTTTATATTTTCACCTAATTGTATCAAAATTATTTATATGAAAAATAACAAAAAATTAAAATAATATTAAACATTCTCATTTATAATATAAAAATTTAATTTAATATTCTAATAAGGTTTAGTTGTTTTGTAATCTCATTTTCTATCTCAAACTATAAGGTTAGCTAAATTTATTGAAGCTAACATCTATAACACTTCTCCTTTACTCTACCCCACATCGTCTATCATTCATCCCTCAACACTAACTTTACTATCCAATCTACCTTTCCAAACACTTTTTGCTCATATGCCCTTTAGTTAATATCTTAATTTAATTTTTAAATAAATAAATTTTACAAAAATAGGAATAAGAAAAAATTTTATTCAACAGTTCTTAATACATAGTTCAATCAAGTATTTTAAAATAAGGGTGGATTACAAATTTATATCAAATGATTGCTACAGGACTAATTCAAATATATTAGATTTTTCAAAATAACTTTCTAAGTCCTATAGCAGTTTCATTCATCCCTTCACTAAGCCCTGTGCTGATCATCTTAGTCACCCAAAAAATAAATGTAAGAGTGAGTACTCTACACTATCACACACAAGTACAGAGACTCACCTTGCACGTTTAACACATTTACTAACATAATTTTAAATTATGCATCAACAGATACGAGTAATACTTTTTAACATTTCATTTCAATCTACACACAAGTGCTCTCACTACACCATCAAACAATTCACACATATGTGCGCTTACTGCACGTAGTCACGCTCACTGTGACACTATGATCACAGATTTCTGATGCTCTCAACCTCAGAGACTTATTCAATTTCATACCATAGATGATTGCTGGATAGCCTTCGCTCCACGAATACAACGTGTGCGGTACTAGCCCCCAAGCAAAGGTATTAGTCAGAGGCTGAGTCAAGAGGAGAGTGTGCGACTTGTGGTGCACCCACGCTCATTATTGGTGTCACCACCACCATCTCTTCTCCAAGGTATTTCTACCTCCCTATCTTCCACACCTCCAATGTATTGCTGAACTTTCATAGTTTTCTAACATATTCAAACACATCCACATTCACATTCAACATGCCATTCCACACAAACTTTCAATCATTTCATATTATTCAACATCACTTGTGTTTAGGCTAAAATTGATTAGAAATATATGCTGAGGTTAAACTGCAAGGGTATTCTCATTATAGCGAGAATGTCTTGGACAAGTTGGGTGTCTCTGTTGTGTTCTCGCTATAGTGAGAAGGCAACAAAGAGGGGTATTTTCTGGTTTTAGTCTCACTGTAGTGAGAGAGTCTTGCTGTAGTAAGATTATGCAGAAAAAGAAATGCAGTTTTGTCTGATATTATCGTTGTAACGAGAAGGGGTCTCATTTTAGCGAGAGATGTCTCGTTGTAGTGAGAATATCACGACTCTTAGGGTATTTGAGAGGTTTAGGATTCAAGAAATGCATTTCCCACTCTTTCTCTTTGATTCTCTTGACCCCTAACCCTATTTCACCGATTAAATTGCCTCCAAAGCCGTTTGTGCTCTAGTTTGAAGCTTGTGATCGTGTTTTGGGCGTTTGAAGATATGTTTTCTAAGCTAGGGTTTTTGATTCTCACCCTTCTTTCATTTCCTTGATTTCTCATGCAGTGAGCGTACTCGTGTATAAATTGATGTGATTTGATTTTGTGTACAATGAGCGTACATGTGTGAGTGATCGATGTGTACTTGATATGCATGTCATTGTAATGAATTGATTCATGCTTGTTCAATGAATGATTTAAGTTATATTAGGAAATGTTTTGGAATATGCAAGGTGAGTCTCTATGTTGTTGACAACCTTGTCATAATATTTTTAAACAAAACTAGATTCCTCAAATAATTTTGCAATATAGAGCAAACATAGATTATCTCACAAGGACAAAAATTCATTCTATTTCCAATTTTAAACATGCAACAGTGGTTAGATTGGAGATTTTGTAGTTTTTAAGAATTTAAATATAAACGTAAATTGAAATTGAATTGAATAAAAAATAATGACAACCAGAAATATGAATGGACAAAAGAAAAATGAAACGAAATGAAGTGAATGAAAAATGAAAAATATTTTTACCTAGAAAAATGAAACAAAACAAAGGAATAGAAAAAGAAAATGAATTGGAAAACAAAACTCGAAAAAATAAATTAAATCAAAAAAATCAAACTTGAAAATGAATTGAAAATGAAAACGAGCGCAGACTAAAATCATTGCAGATTAATTAAAATGAATGCAATAATACAAATGAACACAAATTAAAATCAGAAGGCAAATTAAGACCAGAAAATGAAAAACAAATTGAAAGCAAGACGAAGGGCAAAACGAGAGGTAAAATAGAAGGCAAAATGAAAGCAATTGTAACAAAATGAAAGCAGTGGTGGCTCTATTTCTGGCTCTTTCAGAGGGCCACTCAAATATTTCAGATTGAAGGGTCGCATATGCTACGAGACTGTCCACAGACATAGGCCAACTGTGGTAACTGTAGAAAGCTAGGACACACTACAAATATGTGTAGGGATGCTTCTAAGAAGAGCGGCAGTGTGAGTACCAGTCAGAGACCTGAGTTAAGAGAAAGCACGGGGCCGAAGCTGAGCATTCCGCGAAAGGTCTTTGCCATGAGTGGAGTGGAGGCTTTACAATCTGAGGAGTTGATCAGAGGTAAATATGTTATAAAAGGGAGGTTATTAGATGTGTTATTTGATTCTAGTGCTATGCACTCGTTTGTTTCCGTGGATTGTGTGAAATGCTTAGGTTGGTCTGTAATTGAATTACCATGTAATGTTGTGGTGACTACTCCTACGGGTAAACTGGTCGTAACCTCTTGGGTGTGTCTGGGATTTTCTATGATGGTACATGGTAGGAGCTTTGATGCAGATTTTATTTATTTGCCTCATTCCCAATTGGATTTGATTTGGGGAATGGATTGGTTGTCCACCAACCATGTCTCGTTGGACTGTAAGGAGAAGACCTCGATCTTTGGTGCATTGACATCAGAAATTCCTAAACTTTTAAGTCAAAGTGCGTGGGAGAACACAGTTAATGCTAAGGCCTTTATGGTTATGTTCTCACTAGAAGCTGAAAGTGGAGCTTTAATGTTATAAATACAAAACAATTAACCTTATTCTTCTGTTTTTCAAGTACTTTAATGTTGTATTTCTGATTTTATGCTCTGATTGCACTTCCCTTCAACTCTTTATCACACTTTGTTTGGTAAATAATTACCATTCTGAACATATTTTTATCTAAGGTTAATTGTACTCATATGTTGACAAGTAATGATCATCTCTACCATGGTAAAGAATTAGGTCTTACACTTCCTTTCTATGTGCATTTTACATGTGTTTTTGCATTCATCCTCTAAAACTTGCCCTGCTTTTTATTGAATATGCATTATGCAATTTTTCATCTAGATAGTTGAGGCCTTCATTTGCACACATTCATCCACCCTATAACACTCTTGTAGCTAATTACCTTGTTCCAAATTTTACTTTTTTTAGCCAAACTCAGTCTGCATAACTATTTTTCCTACTCCAAGAGAGGAAGTTCTTTCTCAGTTGCATTAAGATTGAGTGCAAAAACTAAGTCTGGGGTGCTGATTATGAATGTAGTTGTTTGAGGACAAACAAACTCTTAAGTTTGGGGTGGTGGACATTATACAATCTTAAAAAAAGAAAAAAAAATTCTTTTCTAAATTTGAAGAAGGAAATGATTGCCTAAGATCATAAGAGAAAGAGAAAAGAAAAATATACAAGGGCCATATGTTGAAAAAAGTCCCTACAAAAGGCAGAACAATGAAAAACATGGTGAAAAAATGCTTGAACCTTTTAAGCTACATCATTTAATGCATTATATTCTAAGTTGTTGTGCTCACTCACTTAAAAGAACTCCTTTCTCTTGAAAATTGACTTAGCTTTTTGTCCCTCCTTGATCAAAATTGAACCTAACCCAACTTCATTTTTTCCTAACAAAGCCCTCATGAGAATATAGGTAAACATATGACAGGGTGAGGCAAAAATGTATGAATTGAGGGAAAAACTTAGCTTAAAACATTGACGAGCGAAGAGTGAAAGACTATCCAATGAGCTAGATAATTTCTTTGCAATATATGAATTACATTAAGCCTTGCTGAATTTCTATTTTAGTTTTGTGGGACTTTGCATGAAAATAATTAATATGAGTGTGATTTTCCTGTTGAATGAAACCATGACTTTGGAGATAATGAAAGTGCCAATTAGAGTCTAAAATTAGAATGATAATTTTTGAAAAAAAAAAAAGTTAGATCAATCCAACCCTTCGCATTCAATTTACTTGAATTTTGATTTGCTTGAGGACAAGCAAAAGTTTAAGTTTGGGGTTATGATGAATCCATATTTTGTTAATATTTTGCTTACCATTTTTATTGATTGTAATAGAAAAATAAACTTAGAAATTGTAAATATAATAAAAATCTCATTTAGGTCAATTATCATAGCTTTCTTAATTTCTGTCAGGCTTGTGATTTATTATTGAGTAATCTATAATATTTTATACTTGTTAAATGTTAATTGAAGGATTATTTGGTAATGGAATAGATTTAGATAAAGTTTGAAATTATTTATAAAAAAAAAAAAAAAAGTGAATAGTACCGTATGAACAATGTCAATGAACGGTAAAACCGCATGTGAATAGTAAAATCACGTATGAACAGTAAAAATTGGATTTGTACAGTGACTGCTGATGTCATCAGTGACATCATCCTGACATCATGGCTGATGTCACATACGTGTACAGTACGCGTGCACAGTATTTTCAGCATGAATAGTGTCCTAAACAGTGTTTCCGGCGATAAATAATAAATTTCGGCAATGAACAGTAAATTTTGAAAATTTTCAATAAAAAGGGGGCTTCACACGAAATTTTTATTTCTTCAACCCTATCCAAGGTTCTCAAAGGTTCTAAGGCCAAATACCACCATTTTCTCTCATACTAAACTCTCCTAAACTTATATTTCTTGCCAGATCTAAGATTCTACGTCTATTCTGAAGGATTTGAAGTAAGTTTCTTTAAGTTTGAAGCTAGATTTACCGTTCATTTCTCTTCTCCTTCTCTTTCTAATAGAAGTTCATGGTATTCTTAGGAGAAACTTCGTTCTAAAGCTTAATCTTCGGTGAATCTTGTTATAAAATAAGTAATATTCAGTAGATCTAGTGTGAATCATCGTTTTAAGGTAAGGGGAGTTTACTTTAACCTATGAACTACGTTTTGAACGGTTTAATATGCTATTTCAAGATATTTTGATATGATGTTGTTAGATCTATTGAATAAAAGCTATTTTCTAAGTTGTAACTGCTATTAATTGATTTACAATGCTGAGATTTTTGCTAATCTATTATAAACTTACTTTAGCTGAGCTGTTACAATAATTTTAGCGATGTGCATCATGCTGAAATATATATTTTACATCATTATAGAGCTGAGTTACATGTTTAGGTAGGTAGACGTGTAATGGTAAGTTCATGCTGAGCTATTGTGTTGTGCTATCTTGATCCAGATACCGGAATGGGTTGCTCTCGGACCGGCTCGGTTCCTTCTGGATTACTTAGGCTGTGAAACCAATTGGAAACCGTTTTCATGTTCTGCATTAGATGGGCTGGAAATGCATGGAGCTATTGCTGTGAGAAATATTTTGCTCTCCATATATGATTTTATTTTATTTTTTGTAAGCTCACCCTTACATTTCTTTTTATGTCGTTGTGTGCATGTGTACTGCGATGATTGTATGGTGGTACATGAGCAGATGTAACAGGTGTTGCATCTACTTCACAGGCTGAGGGACCAGTGAAGAAATGTTAGAAGCTGGAGTTGAGTAATAATGTATCAAAGTCCTTTTTCCTTATATTTTGAGACCTCATGTAGAGGGAACTACGTAGTATAATTTTGGTATTTTGAACATTATGAACTAAGTGTAATATCATGTTGTTCTGTTAGATATTTGTCGTAAGAAACTTTGCTTTATTTTGAATGAGAAGTGAATTCCATACTTATATTCTCTATTATTTATTTATCTTAAATAAGTATGTAATGTAGAAATAATGTTTTCAGTTCCTTATAAAAGAGGTCGTGACAATTTCTATTCAATTTACACTGATTTTTGTAAATATCTTTTGTAATTTTATTTACTTGAATAATTGTGCAAGAATTTCTAAACAAATTCTATGAATTTTAGGCTCTTGGAAAAAATTTGAGTGAAAGTAACTACTTTCAATGACCAAAGTAATCACTACAACAAACCATTTTCAGGGGACAGATGAAAGTAATCACTTTTAGGAGCAAAAGTAATCACTACAAAGCCAAAAGAGAGGTGCAGACTTACGTGTGTTCACTATCGCTGATGATAGTGAAAACTACATAGAGCCCCCAGTGCACGAAGGATGCACGTGTTTACTTTCATCACTCATAATAAACACACGCACATATGCCCAGATTTTTAAGCTTCGTGTGTTCACTATTACTAGCCATAGTAATTACACGCGCTGCGCATAATCACTTTCACTAGTAAAAGTGAACGATACAGAAAAGGAAATTGTCATAGAGATGTGTGCAAACACTATCAACAATGATAGTAACTACTTCAAAAATAGGATTTTTACTTTTAAGGTAGGAATCTTTTTACCATTTCAGTACTTTTCCATTCTGGGAAACATTTTGCAAAGCTTAGGTCAAACCTTGGGTGACAGCCAAGGTTCCATATTAGGTTTAATTTTTACTTCCTTTTACTTTCTTTTGATTATTGCCTTGATTCCATTGAACTTTATTGATTTTCAACTTTGTAATGGTGAAAATCATTCTCATAGAGGGCTAAATTTTACTGTTAATCCCTAATGAAGTTCATATAAGTTCTTGAAATCCTGGGTTTAATATTAGTACGAATTCCTTTGTTGAATGTCATCTTCCCCAATCTCTTGAAACTTGAAACTAAGTTAAGGATTAAATGCGGGGTATTGCTTAATCAAACTCTATTTCATTTTCTAACAAGGGTTCAAAACTTGATTTATTTAATTCTAAGTTTAATTCTAAGGTTACTTAATCTTAAGGATTAGAAGTTAGAGCCCATATAATTTGCTTAATTTCATATAAGAATTTAGGGTTGATTGACGCTTATTCTAATTAACCTAATTCCAAGAAAGGTTGAGGTATTAAATTTTAAGAAGATTTGTGATAAAACTAATATGGACAAATTAGGAGTTAACACATTTTGTCAATTGAATTTTCTAAATTAATTTCCTGTTTAAGTCATTTAAAATTGAAACCACAAACCCCCTGTCTTTCTTTGTTTATTTTCTGAATTAGCGTTTATAACATTTTTGATGTATGGTTTATATCCAATGTCCACGAGAGGACTATCTAGGTTAACATCCTAGTTTTTCTTTCCTAAATATAGGACCTACAATTTTACACAATTATAAATGGGTATTTGAATTAATTTATTTTGACAAAATAATATCATGTATTTATTAATTTTAAGAATTTTTTGAACATATTACTTTTAAAAATATATTTATCAAACATGCAATAATATTCGTTGTTGCCTTGAAACTTGATCATGTGTAGTGGAATGTTCAGTCACTTTATCACAAGCACTGATTTTAATATTTGTTATCTTTAAATAAAAAAAGTTATGAATTTCAATGGTTGAAATTCTCTATTGTTGTAATGTCACTGTAGAGAATTTTTTTTTCATAGATGTTTAATGTGAAAAAATAAAGTAGCTATGGATAAAAGTAAAATAAAAAAATTAAAGTAATCTCTGTAACATTATATATGTTTCTTTTCAGCATAATTTAATTTCAATTACTTTCATTTTTTATGTTCTAGTTCCTATTTTGTAATAGTAACATGTTTTTTTTAATTGTTAAATTTGTTTAATGTGTTATCTTTCCTTCATGAGACCACAAACTCACCTCTCTTTTTTTTTTATTTTCTAAATTAGTATTCATAACATGTTTGATGTATAGTTTATATCCAATGTCTATTAGAGGACGATCTAGGTTAGCACTCTAGTTTTTCTTTCTTAAATATACCATAAAATAACTATTTTTAAATAAACGTTGTAGGATATTAATACATTTTCTATATGTAAACGACTCTTGAATTTATTTTTAGTTTCAAATATCATTCTTTAAAATTTTTTTAATGAATTTTAGTCATGACTCTTCTAATTTTTAAAAAATATCTTTTATTTTTAAATAATATTTTTTAAAATACAATTTTATCGTACCGGACCACTTGGTTCCAACAATTACCATACAATATATTCACAAGACACAAATAAGTACAATGTCACGGAACCATTCTTTCCAAACAATTGTAGATTATATCTATAAACCAAAATCGGAGTTGCTGGCACGTTGATCATTTTGCAAATAAACCTTTTTCCTTTTATTTTTATTATTTTAATCAATGATTAAAGAAAGTTTACTTGGAAGAGAATACCTATATATATTAGGTTCTACAAAGAATTGCAATTGGGTAACGTGAAAACAAAAAATAAATTTTAGCTCTGGAAGTCATAAAAAAAGTGTGAAAGCTGAGTAATTCTGCTACATTTTCTTGGACATGCTAAGAAATTTTTAAGAGTTTGAACTCATCTCTAAATAATAATAATAATAAGTGAATAAAATAATTAAATTTAAATTAAATCTCACTATTTATTTTATCTTATATTACAATTACCTTTATTGGTTATTTATTTTACATAAAAAATAAATTTATATATCACGTATTGGTTTCTTTTTTAAGAAAAAAAAATTTCATGTTATATTATATTGATTATAATAAATTTATTTTTTTCTCATATTATTTTTAAAGAAAAATTTAAACATTTGTTAATTGTTCTAACAAAACTAAAATGTATATAAACACAATTTCTAATACTATAACATGAATTTATTGTATAAGTTACTCTTATCGTTTGCTTATGATAAAATTGGATATACAAATAATTTAAATAAATAACAAATAATTTCTTACATTTTTATGTCGATAAATAGATAATCAAAAATATATTTTTAATCACAAATTTTTCTACAATTTTATAAATGACCAATTTAACGTTTTTTTATTTTTAAAATACTGATAGAAATAATAATATATAATAATGGTATATAAATTACTTTGTTACGTGCATAATATTATAAAATCATAAAATCGTAAGAGTATTAACTTAACTATTATATCTAAGTATTATGTGCAGTGTAAATTATCTTTCAATTTAATTCTAAAAAATGTTTAAATATTTTTAAAATTTGCCTATTTTAACAATAAAATAAATTTTAAATTCATATAATAATTGATGATAGTAATGAAAAGATTATTTCATCATTTACATACTATGTAATCATAAAATTAAAATTTTTATCCTATTTTTTATAAAAAAAATAAAAAAAATATTATACTCTATATCATTTTAACATCTTCAAAAGTTTTATTTTTCTTTTTAGCGCTTCTCTAAAAAAATTTACTTTCAATTTCTTTACAATACCTTTCAATAAAGTTTTACTTTAATTTCTTTATTACATCAAAAAATATAAAAGAACATAAATCAAAACATGTCAAACTCAATTATATATTTTCAAATATATTTTTTTCATTTTTAAAAAATAAATAAAATTTAAAATTTAAAAATAAAATCAAACTTTAATCTTTATACATAGCCATCCTTATGATATCAGATTCTATTTGATATCCAGAAATTTGCAGATAAAAAATACACTCAAATCTGCAAGGAAATGAAGCAAGAGTTACTAACAAGTAAGTTATAAAGGTGTGACCAGAAATACATTAACGAAGTTTATCTAAATTTACAAAACACGCATTGTTACATCTTACATAAAAAACTTACATAAATAACTGAGGTGCCCATAAAGATATCACACATATAAATTTGTTTTCACTAGTACTAAGATAGGAACTGGGGCAGGACTTGTCTTTCTATGTTCTTAGCAAGATACAGGTATGACGCCTCACTAAAATGGATACTGTCCCAAAATATATATTTTGAAGGGTCATCGCATACTGGTGTGAATTCATTACAAACTACTGATACTTCAATTAAGCCACTCCCGCAACACCCTTCGTTTGTCACCATGATACCTATTTGATAAATTGCCAACAAATGAAAATAAAAATAAAAATATGAAAACAACTTATTCTCTTTCTGTTATCTTCCATATAAGTATAATTTATCTTATGATCATACGAACATATAAAACAAATCTAAAAAAGATGATAAAACAAATCTAAAGAAAGTCTGGATAAGATATTTCTAAGAAACAGATTCACAATTTTTAAACATATTTGCTTATATTTTTAATATATTTAAAGAAAACAAACATAAAATTTCAAATAATTTAGTCTAAATATTAATAATTTAACATTTTAAAATAAAAAAGGAAGTAAAATAAAAATAATAATAAAAGTATATCCATTAATAATTTGAGTTAAAATATTTTATAAATAATTTAACTCATTTTAAAATCATAATAAATGTATTTTTATTTTGTCGCTTTTATCTATTTTCTCCTTTTAGAATAGATAAACTAAAATGTTAATGCGATAAATTTAATCATCACGTTTGAGGCAAGGTACATAAGTACATATAAAGATAACTACAAAATGTGCTCACCATATTTTTCAGGTTGATTGACAAGGTCGAGTGTAGAGTAATATAAGTCTGTATAAACAATTCTGCTTCCGGGAAGCATAGCTTGTATTTTAGATAATCTCTGTATCAATTTTCGATTATATAATTCAGAATCTGAATTCTCACTCTCTACACATTGCCGACCCCTTCCAAACTTTGATGTTATTTGAATAGGTATGCAACCAATAGGAGGAAGTCCAGCAACACCTATTTTCCGGCATCCAAGGTCATATAGGACCTACAATTTTACACAATTATAAGTGTGTATTTAAATTAATTTATTTTGACAAAATAATATCATTTGTTTATTAATTTTTAAAAAAATTTGAACATATTTTTTTAAAAAATATATTTATCAAACATGCAATAATATTCGTTGTTGCCTTAGAATTCAATCCTATGCAGTGGAATGTTCGGTCAATGTATCACAACCACCGATTTTAATATTTATTATTTTTAAATAAAAAATTATGAATTTCAATGGCTGAAATTATCCGTCGTAGTAATGTCACGGTAAAGAATTTTTTTCATAGATATTTAATGTGAAAAAATAAAGTAGCTATCGATAAAAAGTAAAATAAGAAAACTAAAGTAATCTATGTAACATTATATATATGTGTTTTTTTTCAGCAAAATTTAATTAAAATTATTTTTATTTTTTATGTTCTGATTCCTATTTTATAATAGCAACATATTTTCTTTAATTGTTAAATTTTTTAATTGTATTATTTTTTCTTCATGAGATAAAGAAAATGATATAAAAAATAAATTTGTGCCTTAATTTGGATAAAAGTATTAGGAGAAATGACTTTGCAGCTGAAAATTTGAGCTTTTAATTTATTTTGTAGTCACTAAGAAAATTTTCAAGCATTTTTAATGGTTATCAGCTTTAAAACAGTAATAAATTACTTAAGTTTACCTCAATGAAGATTTGAAGCCTATCTTGCAGATAATCTTGGTACTTATCCATGCTAAACATCAACCTTCTGACAGGAACTTCATAAAAATTGAAAATGACGTCATTAGATCCTACACTGATAGTAATAAGAGCATTTTCAAGTATCTCTTTTGTTTCGTTTTCTCCTACAATGTACTTGAGCTTTGCTATATAAGCTTTGAAATATTCAATTTGCTTGAACATTGATATAGCACTGAATGCAGTTGAAGTCACTTCATCAAAACCCGATCCGGCAGATGCAAAGTTAACACCAGTTAAAAGTTCTTCATTTGATAGGTTTGGGTCGAGAAAAGGAGGGATATAATCTTTGATGTTCAAGTTAGAGGCAAAGAAGTCAATAACTATTTTTCCATTACAGAATCTACCGGTTGGCACATGACCAGGGAAATCCTTACCGTAAGGGAAATGATTTGCCTTATTCCAAGTATTGATGTAGTTGTTATTACCTGTGTCCATTGTTGAATCTCCAAATGCTAAAATGGACGGGAAAATAGGTGATGTTATATTATTGTTAGTAGCAACAACAGCTACTATACAAACCTGGATCAACATGATCAAATGGAAAGTGAATCTCATTGCTATAACTTTCTTCTACGGATGTGTGATAAAATATAAAGACTTTCGTACTTATATAAATATTGTATTTATTTTATCGGTAGTATACTATAATTAATATAAAAAAAAATTTATGTCTTCACCTAATTTTGTCAGAAAGATACTAACAATAGATTATATAACTAGTAAAGTCACCGTGCATCACACAGAAATAATTATTACATTGTAATATAATATTATAATTATAATTATAAAACAAAAATTTATAAATTTTTTATCATATTTAAATTATTTTAAAATTTAAAATCAATTAATATATATTAATATTACTATTAATAAAAATATTAATTATTTGAAAGAAAGAAATATAATATATAATTTTATAAAAAAAAATTTATATTAATATTAATTAAAAAATATTTTTATAATAAATTTAATTTAAATTTTAAAAATTTTCTTTGTACACCACATTTATAATAATTTTTATACTTTTTCCCTACTTCAACATAAACTATTTAAAAATTCTAACATAATTTAGATAATAATAAATATTTAAATATAATTAATAAAAAACATTGAATTTATGCCTTTACTTAATTTTGTTGGAAGAAAAATACTAATAATACATTATATAACTAGTAAGGTGACCGTGCATCACACAGATAAATTATTACGTTATTATATAATATTATAATTTTTAATTATAAAATAAAAAATGTATAAAATTTTTATGATAATATTTAAAATTATTTTAAAGTTTAAAATTAATTAATATATTAATATTATTACTAATAAAAATATTAAATATTTGAAGAAAGAAATATAAAATATAATTTTATAAAGTTATTTTTTATATTGATATTAATTAAAAAGAAATTTTTTATTTTTATAATAAATTTAATTTAAATTTTAAAAGATTTTTTTGTACACTATATTTATAATAATTTTCGTACTTTTTCTATATTTAAATATAAACTATTTAAAAATTCTAATATAATTTAAATAATAATCAAAATTTAAATATAATTAATAAGAAAAACAGTAAATTTATATTTTTACCTAGTTTTGTCAAAAAAAATAGTAATAATATATTATATAATTAATAAAGTGACCGTGCATCGTATGGATAAATTATTACGTCATAAAATAATATTATAATTATTAATTGTAAAAGAAATAAAAATAATTTTATAAAATTTTTATAATAATATTTAAAATTATTTTAAAATTTAAAATTAATTAGTGTATATTAATATTATTACTAACAAAAATATTAATTATTTAAAAAAAATATAATATATAACTTTATTAAGTTACTTTTTTCATATTGATATTAATTAAAAAAGAAAATTTTTATTTTTATAATAAACTTAATTTAAAATTTAAAAATTTTCTTGTATACTAAATTTGTAACATTTTTTTTTTTTGGTATTTTTTTCATACTTTAATGTAAACTATTTGAGAATCCTAACATAATTTAAATAATCATCAACATTTAAATTAATATTTTTTAAAATATTGTTACTTATTTGAAGTTAATTCATTTACTACCTTTGTAATATTAATTATTTGCGCATATACAATATTGTTCATGGTTAAACCAATATCTATATTCAAAGTCTTCATGCATCAAATATAACATAAAAAAAATTTTTAGAGATTTGACAGCAAGTAAAGTTATCAATTAAAATAGAATTTTAATTTGAAAATAATGAAATTTATTCAAAATAAATTACAATCTTCAAATTGTCAGCAATTTGAGTAGACAAAGTGTCCTCTAAATATCTTTTTACATTAGGGTCATTATTATTCTACTAATATGCAAGATTTTGTTGTTCTATTTAGAAAACAAAATTTGTCACCTAATTTCAATCATTATTAATTTTTAAAATATATTTTAATACCATCCAATGACTTAAACTAGTTAATTAAATCAACACTATCAGCAAATCTCTTAATATTATATGAAACCTAATTGGCATCTAAATTTGTTTAAATAATTTCAACTTTGAATAGAAAGAACTTGAATAATATTGCATCAATCTTAAGAGAAAATATATTACTCATATTTGCCTATAAGAGTAGAAAACTATTTTAAGAATATTATAGGTTAAAACAAATATAAAAAATTAAACGAAACCAATATCAACACAACTCACCTCAATCATCTCTATTTTTATTTGTTTTGTAGACTTTCTAATGAACTATGATAGTGGATTTTCAAATATTGTGAAAGAAGCAGATTCAGTGAAATCCATAACATTAACATGCAGTTTAAACCTAGAAAAAATAATTAGTGATAAATCTAATAAAAAATTTACTAAATTAGTTTTAAATTAAATAGTTTATAAATAGTAATATTTATACATGTGAGAAGGAATATATACCTCTGACAATTTTCACCAAAAAAAAAAATTATGTTAATTTACTTTCAACTTCTTGAAACACTTATTACATGAGTCATTTTATCATCCCTTCTCATGTTTAATTTTAATAACTTAGGCAAGAACAATAGTAAATTCGACCTTTTCAAAGTGAAACTTCAAATTATGATTTTTATATATTTTAAAAAGAATTATTTGCATTTCACTTGATTATTTCAATACAATATATATATATATATATATATATATATATATATAATTTGTCTCCATTATTTCATATATGTTAATTCTTCGAGCTTGGAACAAATTATCTTCCATTGAAACAAAAGAGTACCCAGACCTCTAACTTAATACTTAACTTATACCTGTATCATTCACATTCATCCTATACTACAAATTGGATAGTTTATAAGTTAACAAAAATAGGAAACATCGTATAAAACATAATGATGCCTCTATAAATAAAAAATAATTTAAAAAAATATACTTATTCTTGTAATCAATAGTCTCTTTTGTTAGGATTTATGTACAACTTTATCCCATTATAAGCATTTGACATGCCTAAAGTTCCTAAAAGAACCATGAAATATAGTTTGTTGATAATAATAACTATCACACAATTAAAAAGACTTTAATATAGATAAAGAATCATACTACCAAATATTTTCATTTTACATAATTGAATAACCAAGATAGGTAAAGTATTAGAATATTCATTGTTTAGAAAATTAACAATCTAATCAGCAAACTCCTCCCGTAAAGTGCAAACAATTATTTGATTCCTATGAAACAAACTCACTATAATATAACCTTTAATTAGTATAAAGTAATGAAAGGGAAAAATAAATAACAAATATTTTAGTCATTAAAATATATTTTAAAATAATACTCACTCCAAGTCTTCGAGAACCAAATCAATTTGTTTGTTTTTCTTTTCATTTTGAGAATGGAACAAAATCAAAACAGTTAAAAAAATGTTGTCACAATTAACCTCTCAAATATTGGTGGTTGCCATCAAATTTAACTTATGTTTGTGTTTAGTAGTTCGCAACTTCTTTTAAAGAGTAATTACCATAAATTTTTTTATGATATACACATTGCTTTCATGCAGTAGTTTTTTATAATGTCATATAATATCCTTCCTAACTGTACAACGAATTCTTGAATTCTGAAATAATGAGAGAAGATGAAGGAATTGAATTAAATAATAAAAAATTTATACACTTTGACTAAAGAAATCTAACAGCTTCACCTTTTCATCAGCTAAAATCATGTCCATGCTATTGACTTGACTTTTATTTCTAAATTTAGAAGAAAACCACAAATGTGAAAAATGAGAAAGAAAGGAGAAGATATAAAAGAACAATAGGAAACAAATGTAAAAAAGGGGGGGAAAAAAAGAATAAGAGCGTAAAAGAAAAATAGGAAGAATAAGAGGAAGAGAAATAGAGAAAATTCACTTTCATTAATAATCAATATAAAACAAGGAAAGAGAGAATAGAGAAAAAAAAAAAAAAGAACATAGAAAAAAAAGTGATATTAATAATCAACGCTAGAGTAAAGTTCAAAGTAGAAGAGAATACAGAAGATTAAGAGAATATAAGAAAAGGAAGAAAGATGCATAGGAGAAAGAAAGAACAAGAGAGAGAGAGGAAGAAAGCATTGGTGAAGAAAGTATTTAAGGAAAAGTAAGAACTATGAAGATAAAGAACTATAAAGACAAAGGAGAAATGAGAAAGAGACACGATAAACGAGAGTGTATTTGTGAATTATGATATTAGGAATTTAAATTCGTGCATGTTAGGAATTGAAGTGGGCCAATTTTAGTTATAATAGAATTTCATGGAATTGGTCTAGGAAATTATAATTTCAATTTCAAATAGACATCCAAACATGATAATTAGAATTATGAAGTTCAATTTCAATTCCCACGTCCAATTTCATACTCAATTTCATACATTGAACGGACATTAGTATTAATTCTTATTCATTTCACTGTTGCAAGATCTTTCTAATATATAAACTCATTAATCATTATTCATTCATTCCACTATTCTTCACTAATCAAGTATCAATTATCTGTTTCTAAAATAAAATTTAAAGTAAACTATTAATATTAAAATTGTAAATTGTAAATTAAAGATACATACATTTAACTGATTTAAATTAAATTATTAATATTTATTACTGCAAGAATAAATGCATTAATATTAACATATTAATGTAATTGTAAAAACAAATTTTCTCCAAAACTCATCTACTTATAATATATATATATATATATATATATATATATATATATAAAGATACACTTTTTGTTATTAGATTAAATTTATTTAATTTTTTTTAATTATGTAAATTTTATTTGCTACATAATTAGTTTCATATAAACATTATTCAATAACAAAATTGTTCTTGAAAATTTTTTTCGTTCAGTATCAACATTTTATTAAGAATAAATTTAGAGTATAAGGAATACTCTAATCTATTACAATTAAAAAAAATTAACAATACATATCAATGAATCATTAATCCAATTCACGTATATAACTGATCTTCTTAAAAGTCCTACAACAAACTTCTTCCAAAATACATATTTCAAACATTTAACCCAAGCTTAATCATTTCATAGAATTA